GAGAACCCAAGTAATTCGCGAAATATTTTCACTGGAATTCCCCGAAAGTGGACCACCAAATTTGGCGTTAATTTACAATAAGTACGTAAATAAATAGGCCTACTAATTACCGTTCGTCATTTGGTTAAGCCCCCCAGTGGCACAGCGGTATGTCTGCGGACTTATAATGCTAGAAACCGGGTTTCGATACCCGTGGTGGGCAGAGCACAGATAGCCCTTTGTGTAGCTTTGTCCTTAATAATAAACAACAACAACTTGGTTAAATAAATTAAATTTGCATTATAGCGGTAATGACCATTAAACTGAAAAGTGCAAAATAGTAGTTCAAGCATCAAATCTGCATTATAGAGGCTCTGTAAATGTGGGCCATTGGCCCCAAGGATTCGCTAGTTCAAAATAATAGAGTCAATGTTTATTCTCTTCTCTTCTACAGAAGAAAAAAATATTTAGAAATAACAAAACGAGTAGCAATAGAATTAGAATTGTGTTCTTTTTTCGTGTGAAATTATAACATTATATATATACATATCATTGAATTATTGTGAACAGAAATGGAAATATTAAAAACAGTTTATTTCTTTTTCTTGCGGATTATGTTACAGGCGGAAACTGCATTATATTTACAAAGTATGCCAACAGATGGCAACACATTAAAGTGTGGGACGCTCAAGTTTTGAATAATATTAAATATTTAAGTAATATTAAACTCAAGTAATATTAAAAACAATTTATTTCTTTTTCTTGCGGATTATGTTACAGGCGGAAACTGCATTATATTTACAAAGTATGTCAACACATTAAGGTGTGGGACGCTCAAGTTTTAGGGTATCAAACCTGAGATAGGATTAAATTTACTGTTTCAGATAACAACGACAGCAAATTATACTTCTTAAATGGTAAGGTTATTATGAGAACTATTTATTATAATATTTTTACAGTAAATTAGCAAGAGCTTTAAAGGACATATTTCCATTATGCTAATAATACTTCTGCCGTTATCGTGTGATGTATGAGCATCAACGTTGTCTTCAGTAACCTTCGAAAAAAAAAGTAACAACGAATTTGAGTTTGAGACGTGGTTCATGAATGATATGCATATGATCAATAATTGAAACAACAACGCTTCGTGGCTTACAGAGATATTTTTATTTATTCATTTTTTGGACAGTTAGTGAATAACCGAATTATCATAATAATAGTATACAAATTGATAAAAAAGATATATTTATACAGTATAGTTTTGCTGTAATATTTATATTGTGCGATGTTAAATGCTAGTATAATTAAAGTCTAATATTTGTAATATGAAAAGTCAGATAATTCACAACACCGCATTTACCTGTTATGATTATTAACAAAATTTTTTAAAGTTTTTACATATATTTAAAACCTTAATTTTTAATCATAGACTACATAATAACAGTCTTGAAACTGTGAGATTTTACATCAACCAGCGACAACTTCTAGATCTATCAACAGACACTAGCTGAACTCATCTTGACGCTAAATGCTTTCTCCTTCAATGATTAATTTTACAAACAAATAAGGTAAACGGTGTAACCATGGATACTAAGATAGACCCATTATTCTCTAACCTATTTGTAGGCTACCTAGAGTGCAGGATGTATCAAACATATGAAGGACCTATACCTGTTTTATTCCGACGATACATTGAAGAAGTAATTGGAATTTCGACTTGAAACATTAAATAACTCCATAATTTTGTTAATTTAGTGAAGGAGTATTATCCAGCCCTTCAGTACATAAGCCGTTTTAAATTATTAGGTAAACTTCCTCGACATATTTCTAAGAAGTATTATCCAGCCCTTCAGTACACAAGCAGTTTTGAATTATTAGGTAAACTTCCTCGACATAATTCTAAGAAGTATTGTCCAGCCCTTCAGTACACAAGCCGTTTTAAATTATTAGGTAATAATATCGACATCACTTTAAGCTTAACAACAGAGAATATCATTTCAACATCTGTTATAAGTCTACCAGCTCCCTTTCTCTCCTGGATTACAACTTTAGCCCTCCCATATCTACAAGAAATGCTAGTAGAAAATCACAGTTTCTCTGCCTACGTCGTTTATGCAATTTAGAATCCGATTTTACCCAGAAGGCTGCATGAACTAATATACATATATATTTTTTTTCAACCTCTAGATATGTTCAATTCAGTTCGCAGGGATGGATCAGCCATAATATTGAACTACAATGGAAGACAAACAACAACAACAAAATAAATAAACGTAAAAATTAATTTCCTTTGATACTGACATCTACCTGGCAAAACATACAGATTTCTAACATAATTAAAAACATTTTGGGGATACTTAAAAAAGACAAAACTTTGGGAGGTATATTTAAAGGTAATCCAATCACTTTGTATCGATACGAAAAAATATACATATAGAATATATAATTGTTCACGCATGAATTAAGACACCAGAGACATGCGCATTCAATATATTTTGTTACATCAACACCAACACTTCGGTGCTTAGACCCAATCAAACAGTTGTTCACCTGCACATTCAAATGCTTAGTTTATTGCAGTACTTATTTATACTGTGGACAAGTATTCCTAGGATAAACAGGTATAATGTTGTCTGAACGAGCACGTGAACACATCCGTAACATATAGAACTTTGATCCAGACAAACAGGTGGCTAACATTTCAACGATCGTAACACAAGTGAAGTCATCTATCTGCTTGGGACCATCAACTCGACGGGAATTAATGAAAGATTTTATTTTTCATAACTTTGTGTGTTTCGATATGTGTGCATGCATATATACATAATTATGTACATGCGTACATGTAACTTTTCTTTGTGTCTATATATGTTTTGTTATACATATATATATTATATGTATTATTATTTTACTTTTTCGCGATTAATTTCGGGTTTTTATTTTATTCTTATGCACAAGAATACTTTTGTTTTGTTTGTTTGTTTATTCTGTTTATTGTTTATACTCAAGGACTAGCTGCGCTAGCCGTCCCTACTTTTGAAGTGATAGACCAAAAGGAAGGCAGCTAGTCAACAGTAACTACCGTCAACTCTTCGGCTACTCTTTAACCAATGAATGGTGGGATTGACCATTACATTATAACACCCCCATGGATGAATGGGCGAGCATGTTCGGGGACGCGATTCGAACCATAGTACTGGTTATCAAACTTTAGAAATTACATTGTTGCCTCGCAACACAGCACAGTATCATATTTACCTGTTTATTGTTATTGACATTTTTGAAAAACTATTAAATATATTTAAAACCTCAAATTTTAATAAGAATTTATATTATATGGGTATATATTTTAATATTACCCGAATTTTAAAATAATATTGGCTTGCCAGTGATTTACGTGTGTGTTTCTATAGATCTGTTGCATGATGCTCATTTCGAACGTTCTTTGTTTGATAAACACCAGAGGAATGGCGTTCTAGCCCGAAACGTTGTGAACATTAAAACATCTATTTATCATTTAGTGTTTTATGTAGTATAAGTTTCTCCCCTTTTTGTTCTTTGATGTTTACATTAAACTAATTAACCTTATCCATCCATGAATGTTTGTAATATTTATAGCTGTAACGCAAATTTTTTGTTAAGTTGTGGAAAATGCAATAAAAAAATCACATACAAAAAGAGTTAACACTCAAGACGATTGTGATTTTCCTTTTTCAGCACAACACTAAGCAATCGGTTATATATGCTGTACCCACCATGGGGATCTAACCTCAATTTTAGCGTTATAAACTCTGAAGTTTACTGGTGAACCACCGGAGACCTCACTCAAAGCTTAACTATGTTTCTATATAACTAAAATGCAAATTTTCACAAAGATAGAAAATTTTAATTAAATTCTAAAAAATAAATACTCATATTTAAAACTACAATTTTGTTGAAATACAAATCTCAAAGTGGGTAAATCAAGTTAAAATAACGATAAAAATAATAATAATTCATAAAAGAAAAGTAACAGAACAAATACAGCACAGTATTATTACAAAATATATAATTTATTGCGACATATCTAAAGTTTGATTTACCAATAAAAGAGTCTTAATTTAATCCATTTACCAGCTAATTTTTCGTCTAAACTCGTATTTACAGTTTTATTTAATTAAGACGGTTCCGGATGCTTGTTGTGCTTGGCCAGGAAATATTTGTTTCCCACTCTCTCTTTTTGTATCCCTTGCGGATATCCGCCAAGGGGTTTTAATTGAAAATGTATTACTTTTGTATGAACTTATGTCTACCACTGCAATATTTTTATGAGGATATATGCATTACAGATAAAAAAGTTTATTACAAAAATTCTTCCCAAAGTTGTTGGTTGTTTTGATTGAGTAAATACTTATATTAGTTGAATGAAACACCATAGCAACTAAACAATGAAGGATTTTACAACTCCAGTTCATATAAAATGCTGTTTAGATATTTCCTATAAGAAAATTTATTTTAAAGAAAAGTTTTTACTTCAAAATTAATAAACTAATTTTAGGAGAAAATAATCGAAGAAGGAAAGGTCACGCTAGTCATAGCTATATTGTGGATAAAACAATTTTCATGTTAGCATAATAACATATTTTCAACTATCATAGTATGATTTTAAACGTGAAAATATGTGAAAAAACAGATGCTAGTATTACTAATAAGTTGCTTATTGATCTGTAAGGAAAGGAATTTAATTTAATACAATTTACATAATATTTTGTATATTGAATTTTATAATGTTATTGAGATATCAAACATGATATTGAACTGTATTTCTTATTTTTAGAGTTTTGATTGTTTATTAATCCTGTATGTTACAAGTGGAAGCCATACCATCTACTCTAGGTTCGCCATGGTTCTTATCGTTTCGCAGACTAAAATATATAACAGCAGAGTAAGTTAGCTTGAGCTACCTTGATTCTAATCTGCAGATAGGTGTAGGTTACTTAGATCAATAAACGAACGCATTCTTGTTCATTATCTGTATTGTCAGCATTTCGAATGATGTTTAACATGCGCAAATACTCAACTTGCTCCGCTTCCTCTGTCACGTGACGTACGAAATGTAGCACGTATGATCACCAAGGCTGAAAGAACGGAATAGTGACACTCGGTTTGAAAAAGGTAGCAATATTCGAGTTTCGAAATTTGAACAAGGTAAAATTAATATATTTTATTTTATAAATTTAAATGCATTTTAACTTATGCAAAAATTTGAATTGTTGCTTGCATAATTTTATCAAGCGTATTGACAGTGGAAGGACTTTTCAGTGTTAATAATGTTGTAACTTGTAAATAATATTCTTACTCTTAGTGCTCACGTTTCGCCATTGTGTTCTTGGTGGTGAAGCTGAATCCCCACATCGATCAGCTGTTATCTTGTGTTTTGGTTGGTATCTCTCTTAAAAGTTTGATGTGTTTGTCGTTGAAAATGCTTCTTCATATCAAATTTAATTTGTCAACGTATATAAATTAATTAAGTACACAGGTTTAACAGGTTTTTGTACCATGTAATTTATAAGTTATTTATTTAACTACAACATACAACTTACAAGTACAACTTCAACTACAGTACAAGTCGTGCAAGTGACAACTACACTAAGAAGTAAGATTTTTCGATTTCAGGTTAAAATAAAACAAGTGGGAGACTTAGCTGGTGATGAGTTCTTTAATTTGAAAGCGTTTTGAAGTTTATGGTTAAATAAAAATCTTAATATATTAGCTAGATAGTTAAAAGGGCGTTTTAATGTAACACTTGAGCCACAGGATCTTACCTTGAATATTTAGACCCATAGCACATCTCATTATGATGTTTGCACAAAATAACATTTATACTATAGATATTAAAAAGAAAGAACCACATGGCCTATTTTGTAGACTAATGATGAAGTAAAAGAATTTATATAATAAATTGGTACACATTTAATAATAATTTGGCTATTTAGGAAGGTTTAATTGTACAAGGTAATATTTTTTCAAGTGATATATCAGGTGTTGGTGCTGATACTTGTAGTAAACTAGTAAAAAATACTCAAGTAATTGAAAAAATTCTTTTGATATTCAATTTTTGTGCATTAATCAAAAATATTTTAATATTTTAGATTGTAAGTAAAAAAAGTGACTAACGTAAAATTAATATATCACAAATATATCTAGTACATACAACAGTTCAGGAGAATTTGATATGATGTACATTTGGAAAAGCTCAATATGTCATATGCTAAAAATACCTCGTAAGGTAATTATATGAAGGATAGAAATATTTTAATATTTAAGTCAGAAGTGAAATTGTTTCTAATTCTAGGTGTAAATACTTAAGCCAAATTTACTCTTAAGAGGTGTGAATTCATAAAACAGTTTTCCTGATGATGTTACTGTTTCAATTAATTCAAATTTTTGCTGGACAAAAGTGCTACATTTGGCTGTTCAAGTGGATGAAGAAGTGGCCTGAATGAGCACCTTCTCCAAAATCGTTTGTCCCCGTGTATATCAAGTAAGTTTTATTGCATAATACAAGAAGATGTATTATCAAACATTGAGTACTAATATATTTTGTTATTAACATCTTAAAGATGAAGTGTATTTAGCATAGAAATATTTTAACAGAATTAGGCATTAGGAATAAAAATGTGACATAGGATTAAGTAGATTGCTAATGTATTCAATGACAGAAATTGAGAGCATTAGATATGAACATGTTAGACAAAAATGTAGATGTAAAAGCTTGAAAATTGGATAAGGTTATCAGAGTAATCAAGATGAAAGACAAGTTAGATTACCAAGTTGCTCCTTAATTTTTAGATAAAGTCATCAGAGTAATTAAGGTGAAAGACAATTTAGACTATCAAGTCACCTCTTCATTTTTAGATAAGGTCATCAGAATAATTAAGGTGAAAGACAATTTAGACTACCAAGTCACCCCTTCATTTTTAGATAAGGTCATCAGAATAATTAAGGTGAAAGACAATTTAGACTACCAAGTCACCCCTTCATTTTTAGATAAGGTCATCAGAGTAATTAAGGTGAAAGACAATTTAGACTATCAAGTCACCCCTTCATTTTTAGATAAGGTCATCAGAGTAATTAAGGTGAAAGACAATTTAGACTACCAAGTCACCCCTTCATTTTTCAACCAAATTTAAAATCACCAACTCAACTAGTAATGTAATCTTTCATTTTGACAAATTTAAGCTAAAAAATGTACACCACATGGTTATCAAGCTTTCACATTTTGGCCCAATCACTTATGCTGCCAGTTTTCTTTAACGAAAACATTCTCAATATACATAGAATCAGTTGTTCCTAATATTTTGGTATTACCAGTAAATTTGAAAAAATTCATGTTGAAGAAGCTATCCAAATAGTTAACAGAAATAATAAAAAACAAAGATCCTAAAATAGACCATTAACCATGATTTTAGACAGCGACCCATCCACCCATCTGTCAAGATTAATTTCAGTTAAACCATTGTATGTTTGTGTATAACAAAGAAATTGAAAAATAACTTTATCCTTTGCCACTTAATGAAGTATTTGATTGCTTCTATTGTTTCCTTGTGTATTGTTTACAAGTGTTGATGTCATTCAGTACTTCGACTGATATTCTGACCATGACTGAGTTGAATAGTCATTTCATAGTAAATCTGAAACCAGACCTTATTTCCTCAAAAAATTGCAAATGGTAATTTTCAAATGAGAACTTTAACCTTGTCCAGAGCAGAGGTGTGTCAGTGATATCCCCTGCTTTTTCTTCTTCTCACAGTGATAATATATAACTAAATTATATAAAACTTCAGATAAAATTACTAAACAGTATATAGCTTTTGATTAAAAAAGTGAATATAATTTTACTCAGTATTTCTATCACTTCTTAGGATGTGAAATTTCCAAAATACTTCTTTTCATCATAGAGATGATCAGAAAGTTCCATTTTGTATATTCAGTCAGTTTCAACTGTAGTGATTTTTATTAACATATTTCTTTTGATACTTTATTTTGCCATTTGTAATATTTACCACTTCCAGCTATAAATCATTAAAAGCAGTACTAAAGCAGACAAAAGTTAAACAGTAAACCCACATTTCAAAGTGGTATCAACAATACCTTTGTCAGGCAAGATGGCAATATGTTTGCTAATAATATCCTTGATTAAGATCATTTATGTGTAAGAAATATAGTTTATTTTCAACAAGTTATAAGCAAATTTATATATGCATATTGTTTGAAGAAATAAGTGTGGCCCAGTGGCTAGTGTGCCAGACTGTGAACTGAGATTCCATTATCGTAAAAAAAAAATAGTGCTCTGCCCTATGGGAACCAGTAGGATGCATTATAAGAGTAACAGTCAAGTCCAACTATTTGGTCTGACAAGAGCTGGCAGTGGTTGGTGTTGACTGATTGCCTTCCCCCTAGTCTATCACTTCAAAAGTAGAGATGACTAGTACAGATAGCCCCAACATAGCTTTGCTCAAAGTTCAACAAACAAATGTTTGAATACAATAAACTTTAAAATAATGTTCAATAAATAAAGATTTTGAGTAATCAGAATATTTTGCCACCATTTATTTTTAGTTAATAGTTTAAGTTTCGTTTAGAGGATGGGACAGCCTAAATGGATCTATAGGTTCCTTGTTGTCCCTAAACATTGTATTTTGTTATTTCCCATATACTCAATTAGAATAGGTTACGAACTTGTCCACATTCAAAATTTCTACTTGAATGATGCACTTAATCTTTTTTTAAGCAGAACAGAAGAATGTAGTGATATGCAGCTGAAATAAAAGTTTGCAAACGTAAAATTCTTGATTTTGGTATTTCATTTGCTGAACACACAAAAAAAAGTATGAATCAGTGGATGTAAAAGCTGGGAAATGTTTATTTAATCCTTCTCAGAAAAGCATCAGAATACATCTCAGAACATCTAAAGTTTTTTCTGGGAGAGCATGACCCTGTATACTACCAGAAAGTAGTTATTTTATTCATTCAACACTACATTTCTTAAATTTGGATGGGCAGTTTTCAAATTCTAATACCATTGTCCTTCGGAGATTCCACTAGCCAAATTCTCTCAAGTCAGAAATGTGTATTTAATATGTCTAGAGCTAGGTGATTAACTAAATAATCAATTACTATTGAGTTTCACTTACATAAATTAATGTCCTGAAAATATTCAACTAATTGAAGTCAGAGTTTATGATTAGTACTGTTTTTTGATTATTCCAACTATTCAAGTAATTTAAATATTTTAATTATGATTTCTCACTATTATTTTTCATTAATCCAGAGTTGTTTAGCTTAATTAATTAGTGTCGAGGCTCACAAAAATAATCAATTAATCATAATTAGTGTTTCTGGTTATTACTATTTTTGATTATTTCAATTATTCAAGTTTTGTAAGAGATATTGATTAGTTGAATATAGTCAATTAATGAGCTCGATAAGCTTCAATTAACAAATTCCACTAATCACCCAACTCTAATTATATCTCTTTTACTTTTATATCTATTCCTTAACTTTTTCATCAATGCTATATTTATTGAACTTAACAATTAATCTCTTGTGAGATATATTATCAAAAGCTTATTGAAAATAAAGATACTTATCACCTTCTGTTCCCTTATCCAAAAAAACAGAAGACCTGTCAAAGCACTTCAAGGAGGAAAGGCTAGGAAATTTTATTTTTCAAACTGTGCTAAGAATCATTAATTAAATGCCAGCATTTGAAATACTTCTTGACAATCTGTATACTAATAAAACTGTTTGTTTGTCTGTAATTAAATACAGCAAAAACGGTGCACAATAGCACGATATTTGTAATGAAATGAGAATAGAAACAGAATAAAACAAGTTTTGTTAAAATTGGGCCACGGGTTACAGAGTTAGCGCCATTTTTCAGATCACTTGTATGAAAATTTCTAGCATGAGTAAGTTTACATCACACTACCATTTGCGTTCTTTATATGAAACTTCTTTGTTCAAATCTATTTCCCTGTCAATGTTCCCATCTTCGTTAAAAGGCATAAGATGACAAAAACAAGATCTTGAAGAATTTCTCAATAATGTACCTTGGTTATGGTAGGTAGTTCGAAGAAAAAATAAAGTGTTACTGTTTCTTATTTGTAGAAGGTTTAAGAGGAAAGACCACAACATAATGAACTAATCCATCACAATACCTGAAAACTCTGACTTCACTTTTTTGAAAAATGAAATGGTCTTTCCTTTTACTCCTGATCAACAATCAAATATCTTTTTTTGAATTATGAAAAACATGAATGGATTGAAATATTTAATTAAATTATCTCAAAATAAACCTTCATTTCGATGCAATATTGAAATTAGCTTGAATTCTTCATAACCTCTGAATAGTGGGTGACCCAATGGGTCACAGGTGGTCTAGAAAATTCTAAGACCCTGCTAACAATATAAATAAACTAAATAAGCTCATAGTTTCATAAAATGCTACTCACCTCTCTGCACCACAAAGAGCTATTACCTCATGTGCACTGCCCTGTAATTTCCTGTGCATGCCACAAGCCTTTAAAAAAACTCTCTCTGCACTAACCTATGATATTATTACTGTAGCCTTCCACTAATAGGAGTGCTACAAATCCTCCATACACAGTAATCCTTATAAACACTAGCACATGAACACAGGCTCATTTATTTCGTGGCACTGCTTGTGTTCAGACTTTTTTTTATTAAATTTACCAGAATTTTTGCAATTTTTGTTTTAATCTTTTGTAATAATTTCTGTTTTTCTATCCTTAATTTTATTGATTATATGAAAGAATGACACCAAATTTTAAATTTATAAATTAGAACTTTTATTCAAATTATTTTCAATTTGATTTTCTTTTAATTGACTGTGTATTTTAGGGAACACACATCCCATTGTCTGTTCCAATTGTTTAAATCAACATACAGGTTTCATACAGTACTCTTCAAGGTTATCTTTAGACCTGTGTCCTGCTACTGTACCTGCCTCATTTTCTTTCTGACTAATAACAGTAAAAAAGATATTCTATATATTTCGTGTAAACAGGCCATCATAATATCATTTTGGTTAATTAATTGGATTATGCATTCATGTTCCTACATTTCTGAAATCTCCTAAGGTTCTTAACACTCCTTCACAGGAGTCCTTCAATACTGCCATGACTGCTGGAGACACTAATGGTCAGTGATGTAACCACCATTGTGCATGATGTGGTTGGTTCCATTCTGATCACAAATCCAGGAATCCTGACCTCCTGCTTCTGTTTCTTCAGTTGAGCCTGTTCCATCTTGTATTTCACTACTTTTGTTTTCACACCTGTTTTTGCATTCTATTTCTGATGCTGTTTTCAGAAAGGAGCTCATTTTTCTCTGCACCAGCCCCTCCACCATCTTCTTTGGGATTCTAGCTTATTGTGGTGCAGAAAGGTGAGTAATATTTCTGAATTCAACATTTTCATTACCTGAAAATGTAATTCTGAAAGATACTTATCTCTTTGAGCCATCTCTTATCCTTCTTCCCCACTTCTAGTGCATTTATTTTGCCTTGTAAAAAATGAACCTGTGTTCTTGTGTTAGTGCTCATGGAGATTACTGAGCATGGAGGACGTGTTGCTCTCCTGTTGGTGGAGGGCTATAGTCTGATGATGGTTACTTCATAGGCTGGCACAAAAGTTGACATGTAAGGGTACGAGCTTTGTTCAAAGCTTGTGGCATGCTCGGGAAATTACACAGCAGTCATGCAAGGTAAGAGCTTGTATTAGTACAGAGGTGAGTATGTATCTGAAATAAATTTTTGGATAAGGAATATTAGTTTTTCCAATCCTCCCTTGACTATTTTATTGTGAAATAGGAATCACAATGTCAGTTTTTCAGTTGTAAAAATATTTCTTTAGTGACTAGAGAATTATAATAAACTAGCTTTGCTGGACCCATTAAGAAATGAGGGGTTGAAGTTTTGTAAAAAAAATCCTGGGGGCTCCTGATTCCTTTTCAGCAAGCTTTGTTCACCAAACTTCCCCCTTCATCATAAAAATAAAACAATCACAAATAATTTTCAAGTATATTCTCAAAAAATCAATAAGAATGGTGCAACTTAAATTAAAAATTACTCATACTATGAGCATTATACACACACACAGAGAATGACAGCTAGCTTTTATTTATGTTAGATTTTAATCAGCAGAAAAAAAATAGTAGTATGTCAGAGTTTATGACTTATAGTACCCAAAACCAATAGGCCAAAGGTTTATGGTAAAAATTCTGTCACAAAGTGTAAATCTAAAAATGAATTTCAAATGCCATCATTACTTAAGACTAATGACAATATGAAAACCTAATAAAAACATGCAAATTATGGTCACTAACTTCTAACTTAGATGTTCTTAAAACACACCAAGATCTTCAAAATATCTACACCAAACTAATTACATGCATATATTAAAACATAAGATGATTTTAAAAAGTGGAATTCAAGTTAGCCCTCCTGAACATTCAAAGTATTATATACATACTTAAGACAACAATATCAGGTCATAGTTTTGTTGCTCAGCGACACAGACAATTGGCTTTTATATATAACAGTTAAAGCTTCATACTATTTCATTTGTTTTTAAATATGTCTCATTAGGGCTATGTCTTCATTCTTGATAAGTTTTCAAAACTTTTTGTTAGCAAGGTGATTGATTTGTTGAATGAGTTGCCATCAGCAGTAGTGGAGGCCAGGACTATATGAGGGGAATCAACAGTTTTGTAAGTAGTAGAGTGAGTTTAAAGTTATACTTTTCCCAAGATGTGTGTGTGTGAAAGAACAACCTTGAATGAATAAATTATCTCGTGTTGTCTTTAAGTTACATAAATATAATGAGAAACCTGTTTTTTTTCAAGAAATTGATCAGCTTAGGAATCAATTTTCTTTCACCTGTAAAAGCACTAAAGTGGTTTAGTGTAAAATATTGTTTAACACTTAGAACATGCTCCTTTCACATTTCATTAGCTTTCTTTTAAAAATCTAAAGTACTGGTATTAGCCTCTTCCCCCACATACGTGCACAACTCAAACAAAGATATATATGTATGAATATAAGTCACACAATTACCACCCATTTCTTAGTGGAAATCTTTGCAGTAATAACACTGAAGAGCACTCTTGGTCATATAAATTTTACAACATGCTTTGCTGCTGTTTCCTTTATTTATTCTTTAAAATAAAAATACAATTATTGTAAATCATAAGAAATAAACCTCAAATATATTCACATTTCTTGGAAGAAATTTTTCTTAATGTTCTGAATCTACAGAAGAACCTTTTTCAATCACAATAAACTGAAACTTGGAATTGCAGAAGAATGTTCTGTATGTGGAGGTTTTTCTACATGTTGTGGTTTGAGGGCACATCTTAATGCTGTTACCACAAAGGTAACCTATCTCTATTCAACTTCCATTGGCTAGAAAAAAAAACTTCCTTAGTTACAAACAGTGAGTGGACGGTGAGGTTGTTAGGATACTAATAATGAATATACTACGTGGTTATCAATATTCACAGAATTTAATGCATAATCACGATTACTTAGCAATCATATTTTACTTAAAAAATATTGATACGGGGGATCATTGTATCAGTCATTGTAATGCAATAAAAACAATACAGTATAAGTATTGATGTATTGGTACAACATTATGTGTAAAGCTACCTGACACAGTCCATGTACTTCAACTTAAATACAAACAGAATATTACATAATTTTAAACACAAAAATAAAAAAATCCTAAACTTTACATAGCAAAGCATCTTGCCATACAGCTTAAAATCACAAAGTTTTATCTTCTCACTCTAGTTTTACAAAATAACAATAATACTTCTATAAAACAAGGTTTGTTCACTGTGTGGAAATCTTATTCACTAAACATTTTAGTAATTGTATTTTTGGCCATAGTTCAAATAATTTAAGATGACTCAAGTGTAAAGGAAAAAAAAAGTGCATGTTTTGTATGTTCAAAATTATTAATTATTGATAATTTGGGCATATTATGTTAATTCAGCTTGAACCAATTTATGTATGTCCAGCTAACTCCTCTGATAGTTCTGGAGCTGTCAGAACCAAACTTGGCAGGTGGACTCAAAATGGGCTGGGGGGGTGGTGTTTTTCATTACCTAGCCCCCTACAAAGGGAGTTGGCATGTCTTCTCATAGGTCACCCAGGTGTGTTGGAGTCTAAAATTAGGTTTTCAGGGTTGCTAAGCCCGAATCTGTCATCATAGTTTCCCATTCCTAGTCTACCCTCAACCCTTGAGATCTTGGGAGGTTCTATATTTGTACACCAAATTATAAGCTAGCAGAAACAAACTTAACACACATGCTGTATGTAGTACCATGGGTAGGTGTCCTAATAATTTTTTTTTAGGTTAAGGACTCTCCTTGGAGTAGTTATAGAAGTAATTGGGGAAAATGGAGGAACTGGATTAGTACATTTGGGGCCTCTGTGAATCATGAGAAGGCCTTTGAACCCTGCAGCTAAGTGTGGGTGTTTTATACTAGTTCTTATAATGTCTCCTATTCAGCATTTGTTTTTCACATCTAAGGCACAAAGACTTAATTTCTTTAATCACTGTGATACCTCTGCCACAGGACATGAACACAATAAAAGTGATTTTGAACAGCATTTTTTTATTACAGTGTTAAAGTTTAATTTCAATATGGTGCAATTGTTGTTACTATACTATTTTTATGACCACCAAAAAGCTTATAAAAAACACAATTGTTTAAAACTGAAATAGTGATATTAATTCATGTAATAAAGTTTTCTATTGATTATAGTAAGACTGAATGATCATATCATTGAGTCATCTTCTTAGACTTAAAAAAAAAGTAATCCTTTTATTCTGGGTAAGGTTAATTGAATCCTGGATAATTTGTTTTGTGTATTAGGTTGTTATTGTGTAGGTTACACTGACAATAACAATCTTAGTGACTGCTTTGTAATAGACAAGACTACGGTGTGTATATATATACATATATATATATTTCTATGATAGTGCAAAAAATGTTATATTGTTCTAAATAGACTTAAAAAATAAACTAAATCTAGTTATTTAAACTAATCAAAATGAATATGGTTGTGAAAATTAGCATTTTTTACTTCTTGTTTCACTATATGTTTTACATTTATTGCTTATATACACACTTAAATGAGAAATATATCAAAGGAGAAAATATAAGTAATTTAGTCATACTTATTTGCATTTATGATGTATTTTTACTGATAATGTTTAATTGTTCTGTGTAACATAAAGATTCATTGACATTTTTATTAGTATTTTAGAATCAGGAAGATCCACAATTAAATTATTGAAAAGAAAATCACAATTGTAACCTCATAGTCAAGTCACTTGAACTTGTGTATTTTAAAAACTACATATAGATAATCATTATGAGGCCTCACCAGTTTTATACAAGTTTACTATACATTTTAAATTTCTATAAATTGAACCCACAATCTTTTTTTAATACTTGCACCAGTGAAATACTCAGGTGAAAGCTTTAGAATTTTATCAATAATTACACCTAAATCAGAGATTTTCTTATTTTTATCTATTTTTTTTTACATTTACGTAATAATGACTAGCTTTGTTTCAACACTACTACCTGTGCTTTAGAAATTATTTTTTAAATATTTAACTTGTATATTTAAATTAAAAAAAATATATTTCCTTATTTCTGCACGAATATAGTTTGTACATATAATAATAGTATGGTATATATTTATGTTTCCTGTGTTAATGACATTTTATTTGAAATGTATAAATGCTTGCAATAATACTTTTTTGTTATCTTTTATTTTTCCGTAAAGATTAATGTGTGCTAATAGTTTAATTTATTTTAGAATTATGAATGGAATATGAAGAGCTACATTTCAGTTTGATTTTGATGAATGAAGGGGTAATTCGAATGAACTAAATGGCTTTCTGCCACTTTGATCACATGTTCTTTTATTGAAATGATATAAAGTTTGATCTTCATTCTTTTGGTTATTACAAGATTTATTTAGTTTCTTACTTTTGTTTGTTATTTGTTGATTTTTATTCAGAACTTGGGCCAACTCCAAGGAATTATTCAAACATTTATTGTGTATATTTGTATCCATTGCAAAAGGCTCTGTTGTAAGGCTGTCATGTCCAAAGTACGGTGCTCCTACTTTCTGACTTTCCACAATCCATTTGACTGGTATCTTTTCATATGGAATATTATAATGAATACCCATTTCATTCTCCATCTATTTGACAGATGTGATGCTTGAATGGGAGGTATTACTGGAAGCCTAATCTAGGTGAACCCATATCCTGTTGGATGCTTTTCCAAATGGAGATACTATGGTTATGTTGTATGCTGTTGCCTGGGACACAGGGACAGCTTAACTTCTGACTTTTATGTTTGTGAATTCTCAACAGTTAACAAGAAGTCATACTGCTTACCATAATTGGGATACAACTTGATGCAGGTCTTTTTCTGGATGGTCCTGGCATTTCAAGTTGATTAATATTTCTTTGTTTTCTAGTGCCATTAAGTACAAGGGATTTTCCTATATTTGAAATTCTAAACATGTAATCTGAATATATATCTTTATGATCTAAGTGCATGAATATTTTTTGTCAGAAGGGGCTATTAGAAAGCCTTGCCAAAAGTGATCAGTTTTAGGTGGTATCACACTACCTATGAAATGACAAACAGTGTTAAAATATAGTTCTTATACATTCCTTTCCTCTATGAATTTATGTAGGCTGTTGTTGTCACATCACTTGCTGACTTGTTTATTCAATATTGTTTTAATATATTGTACTCATTCACCTATATCAAAGTTAGTGCAGCACACATGTAACTATATTTACAATTTTGTGGTTCTTTACTGTCCCATGAATATATCTAAAGATTTTTAATAGATTTAAAGTCTTGACATTACTAAGGTTGTTTACTCATGATATCAGATACATGCTCTTAGAATAGCCTAAAAATGTGAGTTCAGTAAATAAGAAGGATAAAAAAATATCAATTCTACTTTTGGTAGTTGCAATGTATTTGTTTGTAAACAGTTAGAAGCAATAGATGAGGTTTTTTTCTTCATATACCTTTGTTCTTAGCAAATATTTTTCATATAAGCACATTGTCTGTACTAAAAAACAAAAGTTGATGTTGAATACTGAAATGATATTTAAATGAATTTTGTAGAAGAATTACATGTAGATCTTCAAGTTTTTTCAAAAACGTAGTCTGTGATATGTGATAGCTGAACTTAAAATAGTAGCTCGTCTTGGGGTAACAACATTCCAGTTTATCTTGACCTCATTGCTTTAAAGAAACAAACTCATAAAAAAAAAAAAAAAAGCTCATCAACACTGACAGCTCCAGGCAAGTGTGTGTGTAGTCTCTCTAGTTTAAAGCCTTATGGCTATTTTGGCAGTGGCATGCATGGAAGAAGACACACCTGCCAAGTATTATTCTTTTAGCTTAGTTTTTACAATGGTACATGTACATGTACTTGAACATGGTATGCGGAAATAACAAGAAGAAAAAGTACATCATTACATTTATATATTTCAAAAATATAGCAGTCACATGGCTTTTGTCCAGAGGCTATATATAAAATTAAGACTTTAAAAAATTATATAAAGCTTAAAAAATACATTTTTTATTAATGTTTTAAAAGTAAACTAGGATTTTACGGACTGCATAAAAGATTTGTGTTATGACTGAGAAATGTTAATTTTCCAGATAATTATTTTATGAAAAGTTTTCTGTAATTTTTCTTTACAGATGTGAATTTATTACTGAATACTTTACATATTATCATCAAGAAATATTGCTAGCATAAATAATGTTAGTACCTCTTTAACATCACTAACTTCTTTTATTGGTTTTACACACAATTACAAGACATAAGTGTAATCATAATAGTAAGATTACTACTTTGATTTTTTTAATGCCCTTTGATTTGTGTTTCATTGCACCTTTTAGTATTTCTGAAAAGTTGTAACAAAAACAAATAAGTGGTTTAAACCACTAATAGTAACTATTCATGAATAACCTCTCTCTTTCTCTTTCAATCTATTCATCTTTCCTCAAGTCTTAACCTCTGTACCTTATAAACTGGTAGTAGGACAAGATGAAAGCAAAAGCCCCAGCAAATGGAAATTGTTCTCATCAAGAATTGTTCTTCAGCTGCTGACAAAGATGATTGCCACAAAGTGTATTCCTAGTGTTGTCTCATCTTCTATAAGTTATAAACAACCTCAGACAACTCTATTTTGTCACATATGAGTGATTGTATGCAAGATTGGTTACAACAGACAAAGCATTACAAATCACTTTACCCTGTTATTGTGACTTACTGTGAAAGCCCACATAGATCTTAAGGATTTGTTATAGGCACATCATAGATTTTCTCAAATGTCTCCTCATTCAAGTGGCATTACTGAGACCTCAGTTTAGTTACAAAATGTGTATTTGTCAGTCACTTTGAATTTGATGTTCTTGTTCTTGAAGTAATGGAAAATCTCACTTAATGACTTGAAGATTATTGCAGTTTTCCAAACTATTCAGTAGAATGCAATGAAACAGTGCACAGTTTTAAATATGCTTCATTTTAAACAAATAATTGATCAGTATACAGATTCAGGGACCAAGTATAATTTTTTTCATGAAAGTAATGTCCACACACTTCTAGTTAACAGAATACTTTAATCAATCGTTATAAAGGATATGAGAACACCCATTATCTAGACCTTTCTTGAACATGCCTCTTCCCTGTGTGTAATCAGTTACAAATGATAGTTAATGCATTACCCTCTTTGTTTGAAGGTTCCAAAATCTGAGAAATGCAAAGAATGCTCTATAAAATAACTTCAAATTGTTACAACTCTACAGTGATTTCTTTTAGTTACACACTAGACTTCTTGAAATTCTCAAAACTCTTTATCTAAGAACAAATAATTAAGCATAAATGAAAACAAAATATAAACTACATTATACTTCTCTCAAGTAGGGCATCTGTAAATAACTGAATATTAGCCTTATAGAGTGGCCACAAATTAAGGTTTTCAACCCTGTTGGCTAATAACACTTCAGAAAACTATAGTCTAAACTGTATAGTGATTAGATTGTATTTAATTATCAGTTGATTGCCCTTCCTTTTAAAAATGTTTTCATTCAAAATCCCTAACATCTCACAAGTTTCAGATTGTTTGGAGATTGAGATTAGTCATGCATTAAGTCAACAATGGAACATAAGCTTCATAAGTGTAATTATAGATTAAAAAAGAATAACTTATAACAAGTATAAAATAATAAAACTAACTATAAAAGAAGGGATAGTTACTTACAGAGTACATAAATACATCATTCATTTTCTCTTTAAATTTACATAATTAACCTGTATGTAAAATATATATACTCTCTTAAACATTTATGCATTTGCAATAGCATACATCCAAAATCACAGTGTATCTTGTAAAAGTGTCTAAAATTCGTAATTATTACACACCAGACACCAGTTTTAAAAATTACACCAATGTTTTTCTACTGATTACTTATATAAGCATAAGTTTAGTTAGTTTGACATCACAGATCAATGGCTTTTGGCTCTAATATATGATTTTTAGCACTAAACTCTTTGTCAAAATTGATATTTTTGTTTTATATACCTTACATATTACTATGCAGAATATAATTTAACTAGCCACTGATTCTGTAAACTGGAAAAACAAACTTTTGTATAAATACAGGACTAGAAATAATTATGTAAATGCACAGGTGTTGTGCAAACTTGAATTACAGTCACAAAGAATGAATTACTACAACTAAATGGTCAATGTAATATTAGTACAATACATTATTACAGGAAAACAACAAAAAGGTAAATAAAATGTACAATGTACTAGTATTTTGTATTTGCTTTAAATGAAGCAGTACATCTTGTTTTCATGCTACCATAAGTTTATCAGTATATGATTCTGAAATATTGTTTCAAATGTTCTGTTACGATTTTTCACAGTTCGGCCAAGAAGTTTGTGTGCATTTAATCTTCTCAGTTGAAAAGATGGAATTAAGTGAAATTAAACTAAAACTAACTTGAAAAATAAAGTTAAGCTATGGCAATGCAAGGTTAGCATATTCAATAAAAAAGAATTACATGAAAAGGCAGCACTTTACTGCAGGTCTTGTTCCTTTCAAAGCAGAAGGCTAATTGCTGAAAATGACAAAATCTGCTCTCAGGATTCACATTTTCCCTGTAGCTGATCAATCACAAATAGATGATAAAAATCCAGAAGAGTCTCTGCTCTGTGTGACAGCCATAAAACAGTCCTTTTTACACAGGTAAAACAGGACACAATATAATTATACTACAAAACAGTAGACAAGTTTTTTGACTGGTTACAGAAAGTAATACATCAGTCTATTTTACACATTACCTCAATGTATTGTGGAAACTATTTTTAATATGAGGTTTGTAGTTTGAACATCTTGCCTAAGAACAACACTTAACATTTGAAAAAATAAATTCTTAAATTCTGTTAAGCAAGATATATTTTTATTTTACTTTAGTGTGTTATTAAGGAAAGTTCCTACAAAACTTTTACTTGCAAGTTGATAAAACTGAAATTGGTATACTTGTTTCAGCTTATTTGTTATTTTTAACATTTTGTTCTGGGAATGAGTATTACTTTAATTATATAAATAATTTTGTGATTTTGGACATAATAAATTTTAGAATACCTTTCAGGTTTTTCAGATTGTCCTGACACAGTAAATCCAGCCACAGATATTTCCTCTTGTTGTTGTTTTTCTCAAACTTGTGATGTAGATGTCCAGGATATGATGGAATTAGGAAAAGCACTAAATTGGTATCAAAAAAAGGTAGTGTATGCATATTTTCTATTTGTCCATCAAATAAATTCATATATAAGGGTTGGATAAAGAGTTTTATTACAGCTTTAATAGACATGGATTTCTTTCCTATAGACAGTCAAGCCAGCACTTGGGCATGCACATCACATTTCTTAATGTCTAGTATTTGTTTATATAAGGACTAGACATCTCTACTATGCTTTTCTTCTATACAGCATGTTCCCCCTTTCTGGCAGATGCACGTGCAATCAAGCCTGTAAAAATTGCTGATATGCCAGAAGCAGCATTTGTTTAAATGATATCAGCATGGACTACAGCTGTGTGGTAGTCTGAAGCACAGAGAATGATACTAGCAAGAACAGAATATTAAATTGGAAACAAGATGGAAAGGCAACAATGAATGCGGTATGATCAGAGTTTGGACATTAGCAGTGAATGTCAGAAAAACTTTAAGCTTTGTTTGGGATATCTTGGTATAGTAAGTATACTCAAGCCACTCGATACTCTGAAAAACCATATGTTTATGCATATAATGGTGCAATAATCATAGCTTAAACTCTTGGAGCATTACAAAAGGTAACCTGGATATTCATGTGTCTTGAAACAGCTTCCAAGAAACAAAATGCTCTTAGAATGTTTGGTTCTAATCACATTTTGCTGCTGTGAGATTAATCCAGTCATTTTACTGAAAGAGAACAGCTGTTCATTACTAGAACATCCTAGAAGATAATGATTACACTTTTCTCCTTCAGATCACAATCAAGATGAGTGTGGTTATCCAAACTGCAAGAGTCAGTACAAACTTGCAGAGCATGAGGATTCAATCAGTCACCCTTGTACTCTGGTTTAACCAACCATCAGATCTTGGTGGAATATTAGGAGATAATCTTGAAAACCAGACTTCAACATTTCTTTCATGTGTCCATCTTTAGGAAAAAAACTGGAAATGTCTGTTACTGGAAAATAGTGTACAATTTCCTTTGATATCTTCCAAAACTCAGTTGCCAAACTCAGTTAGTGTATGAAGTTTCGTCATGACTAAACATCAGTTACCCCCTTTTTTTTAATTTGAATCTTGTATGTGTACTCTCTAACTTTTTATATTTCTTTAACAAAATCAACAGAACATATAATGGTAAAGCATTTATTTTTATTGGATTTATTCCAGTAATTCAATGTGGATGTATAAGTTTTTATAGTTCAACAAGAAACTTGAAATAGTATAAAAAAAATATTTAATGTATGTAGTTGAAATCTTTGTCAGTCTGTAAGAGATTTTAATACTGTGAAATTTAAATAACATGCTGACATTTTTCTTTCTTTTTTATCACCATGTAAATTTTTCAAAACTTAGGCTTATACTGGCTTGTGCTTGTAGGTAAGGTATCTCAAGATGTTAACACTCATACATTGTTTGAAATTGATGGCTGTTTTATAATGAATGTAGTATACTTGTGAATCTTTCCATAAAAGCTTTGAATGGACAACTGCTAGAAAAATGAATAAATGGACATTGTTTCTGCCCACTTGATCATTCAATAAGTGGAATGTATAGGATATTTGAAGAGCTGTCTGTACATAATTTTTCTAAACATCACATTTAGTTTTAGAAAAATATATATAAATATGGAGTGGTCCAAAAGATATACACTTGAGAGAAAAACCTATTTTATTATCAATTATTCAATGATTATACAATGTAAAAGACAGTAGCTGTAGTTCCAATAGTACTATATGATGAAACACTGTTCCTCTGCAGTCAGTTTATATGTCATTGTGTGTTCTTCACTCTAAGCCTGAAAGAAAAAAAGTAATTTTTCAAACATATGTTTTGTTTGGTTCACCCAGTACATGTAGGCCTACAAAACAGATTGTTGAAATTAAGTTTATTGTATTGAATGATGTTGTTTTTATGGTGATTTAGGAAAGAAAGTCAACTATGTGTGAGAAATTGATGAATTGAATATGTATGAAAATGATTTTTAACAAATATATATAGGTGCACCATTCTTTTTAAGATTGGAGCATATGATAAACAGCTGTGGGAAAAATCTGTTGAACAACGTATTCTGCGGGTAAGTATTCCTTTACTGAATGGTTGATAAACAAGATTGGACTTTTTTTTGGGGGGCAAACAAAATATGGTTGTGACCCCATGATAAATAATGTTCATTGTTAAATATCTAAATACACGCATGCACATATGCATATTTGTGTATAAAGTTTTATGTGAATGATGAAATGAGGCTTCCACTAACTTTATAACAAACAAACAATTAAAATTAAGCATTGTATGATATGAATGTGATAAAGTAATTTTCAGATACCCATTTAATACTGTTTTGTGAATGGTTATTGAACTAATTCTTAAACCAAAACTTTGTGTTATTGTAATGTAGATTGTGGTGTCAATATGGTATCAGCAACAAACCATTGATGTAACTTTTGTTCTTGAAAGTTTGTACACGGTATGTAAAATAAGAAGAGGACATCAGTGTACCTTATTAGTACATTGCATTACTAGAATTTGTGAATTTTTTATATGATTATAAAAAGAAAGTATGATTTATAAGTAGTTCTACATAAAAATGATAGTAGATATGAATAAGTTAAATGATTCTGTCTTATTAAAGTATAGAAGTATGTCATCAATTGTAGTTTCAAAAGGTATCAAAGTTGTCATTTTATTTTATTCATAGGGAGTGAATGCTATACCCAAGAAGACAGCTAAAATCAAAGCAGATCTAATTGACGTTGACTTGGTTCGAGGTTTGTTTTAGACATCATTTGCCTTAAAATAATATTAACATGTATACAAGTAACACAACTAAAGGAAAGAAAACATATCTCCTTATCCTGGAGGATTAAAACTATTCAGACAACTAGGCCAAAAATAGTTACAAATAAAGCTAAAACATTATGTATAAAGTGGGAACATTATATTTATCCTAGTGACAGAAAACTGGCCTTTACAAAGTGATCTGTCTTGGCTGTGTTGTAATGGACTAGTATTTTATAAAATACAGTCACATTTCAGTTATAATACATTTTATATATATATACATGCATTATTACTATTTACAAATAAGTACTTAAACTTATTTTTCTTAAAAAGTATAGCAAATAATTCTCTCTTCTAGTTACAAACTTTGTACTCGTTTGCTGCTTGCCATAGGTTGCTAAGCCTTATCAAATTTCACATGTGGATGATGTGAAATGAAATAACTTTTTTAGGTTTCATATATACATTTTGAAATAAGAAAAAATCATAAATTACTATATCAAAACCACAAAATTCCACTATAGTAACTAAGCTGTATTTGGGTCTAAAAAAGTATGAAATTTTGAGCTCACTAATGTCTTACATTATCACTTGGAATCTAGCATGAAAAGAAAGAGTTTGCCACACAAATGCTTTAAAGAGGCTGTGAAAACCACTAGGGGGGTATTCTGAGCTTTTGATTGGTTATACACACGTCATTGGGCAAAGAAGGTTTATGTAAGCAGGTATTTTCAAACATTGAAGAGGTGGATAGGGCCACCATGGTTGATTTAATATATATATTAATATCTCAGAAAATAGAAAAGATAGAAGGTCCTTATTTTACATTTTAGCTTGTAAACAATGGTAATTTAAATATGTAATTGGTAAGAAACTATAGACTTTGTATTTGGACATCACAGACATCTAGTTTGAACCAATGCTGCATTCAACATACCATGTGACACTCAAAAATCGATATTTAGGATTTTTTTTAATATTTACCTTTAAATAAGAAATTAACTAATGTATAATACTAAAATTTGAATTATAATCTACAATTTGATACCAAATTTATTGGCATACATTGATAAAATAGTAGTTCAATAAAATTTTGAATGCGAGTCAACAAACATGATGACATGGTTTTTGACCCATGACTCATGCTGGTAGAGTTAAAAAACTGTGCTACATGATATGTAAGTGTTGTTAAAAGTCAATTCAGAGTAATGTTGTTTTGTAGATGTGCACTACTAAAGTCACAATAAGATAAATCTGGGAAATTGAGCAGTAGTAATCTATTTGTCTATTTATAATTGCATTTCTCCACCAATGAAATTATATTGTTCCTACACAAAGATAGCCTTTACCAGTTATTTGTTCAAAATTTCACAATTTTATTGTTCATTGATTTCAGTATAATTCCATGATTATTATCAAAATTATGTGTGAACTTGAAATCAACTTTGTATAAATCCAAGATAATAAGTCTGCATCAAATTAATTTTTTTTTTAACTGATATAACTATTTTAAATAATGAGGATGAATTCTTGTTTTGTAAACTTAGAACAGGCCAGACATTGTGATTAATAATTTGAGGATTAGGTATTAAAACATCAAACATTTGTGTTATTGTTGAAGAAGGCATTCTGTGTGTGTTTAGTACTTGATTTCTGACTTCTGTTAAAACCTTTTTTTGTAATAAACTACATTTAGGAAAAATGGTATAAAATGCAATTATAATACATGCCTCATTTTAGCAAATGAAATATTCTTAAATATTAAAAGTTTAAAATGTACATCATGCTGGAAAAAAGTAAAGGTAAGAGCTTTCTTGAAACAGAGTAAAACAAACAGAAACTATAAGTATGAACAAAACAGAAAATTTAGTTTACTTAAAAGGAACCATGTTTTTGTTATGAATGGTACTATATCATACTAAATTTTTTAAAGACTATATTAATCCTAAGGAAAAAGACTAAATACCAAGCTGCTTCAGAGAGAGTAAAGCAGATGTACCTGAATGTCATGCCAAACTGTAATTTAGAACCATTTTCAGAGGTTTCTGGTTTAAACAAGTTGCCCACATTGTAGAAAAAACAAGTTTTTTTGTTAGGATATTACAGTTTAATTTTGTTAGGTGTGAAGGGTTTTATAATTATAAAAATCTATCATCATCCATTCATTTGATAACCTTTGTGTTGATGAGTAACAAAAAATGAAATTATGATAATAGTAATAAGCATTTTATTTGTGCTGTGTTTCTTGTTGCAATATTAGTTGTTTAATTGTTGTAATACTGTACTTCTTTACTTGTAACTGCTTTATTTTTTTTCTCCCAGGCTACAGCATCTGATCTTTCTGCAAGATTTATTTTTTAGTTAAGACATTAATTAGACAGAGTTTATTTACTTATCCCATGGTGATACAACCTTAATTATTTCAGGGATACTACCAAGATGGCCGGCATGGCCAGGTGGTTAGGGTGCTTGACTCGCAATCTGAGGGTC